TATATATATATGTACGGAATCGAAAGGATCATAGATAAGATAAAAAAAACAAAGAGAAAAAAAGGGGAAATAAGAATAAGGGAGAGCGTAATAATTTCATAGGTTGTCAAAAATAATTTCAATCTTCGAGCACATATCAACTTTATCTCGTATTTCTTATCCATTTCCCAACGATAATTTTCACGCTGTATTTTAATTTACTAAAAAATCACAAGACCCTGTCCTTCTTACATACATACCTGTTTATGCGTACAAGACCAACGCAAAGAAGGGACTTCGCTCGCAAGGGATTTACTTACACCAATGTGGTGAATAAATTAAAGACGGATAAAGAGATCACGGACAGGAAACTGATCGAGCTTCGATGAAGAGCCAGCGTCATGACGTACCGTGTCACGCGAAAAGCAGAAGAAAAAGGATAGAGGGAGAGCCGAAAGCTCAGGCCGAGACAAAGAGCGCACGAATGCTTTCTGAGGTTAATTTCCAAAGATCAGACAGAATTACTGCTTCTCTTTGAGACCACCTAGCAACGCATGGCTCTCCATCGTGGCACTGAGATTACTGAGATTGCTCAGATTCCCTAGGTTCCCCAGGTTGCCCAGATTGCCGAGATTTGGCTGGTGGGCATAATTCCTAATCTGGTGAAGGCTGATCAGCTGATTCGGGAAGGACGTGGCGTTCTGATTGCTGGTAGTGCCGGGCGTCACACCTGACGACGAGGATGTTGGCGACGACTTCTGCGTCGTGTTGAACGCCTCGTAGAGGTACGGTCGGGACGCCGGATGATGGCTACCAGGGTAATGCAGGTGATTCAGCGGATTTAACGGGTGCTGCATCGAAGAGATCGAATTAATCGAGATCGTCGATATCGGCGTGAAAGCCGAGCTGCTGTTAGGATGATGATTCGCTCCTGGTTGAGGCGTCTGTTGCCTCGAGTCGTTCTCTATAGACTCGCCAGCGCGATGTCCGTGTCCCGGCAGTAGCATCTCCGGATTCTGATTCTGATGGTACTCTGTATGATGGTGCGGCAACCTCTCGTGCAGGTCGCCGATCACTGTATCCGGGCTAACTTTGGGCCAGTAGTGGTCCTGATGGTGAGCGGTCATCGCGTGTATCGACGGCCTGAGGCCCGTGCCGATGATCGGCGGTCTCTTATCCGTTCTCTCTGCGTGCTTCTGCATATGCTTCGCCAGATAGGTCTCTTGGGTGTAACTCTTACCGCAGTACTGGCAGATGTGCGTTTTTAGGTGCTTCGACTCCTTGTGCTTCGGTATGTGCTCGAGCAGACTTGGCTCATCGGAGAAGCACTTGTAACAGGAGTTACACTTGTACGGCTTGTCGGTCTGGTGGCATCGAGAATGGCTCTGTAGGTTGCTCAATTGGCTGAACGCCTTCGTACAGCCTGGATGCCGACACTTGTACGGCTTATCGCCAGTGTGCGTGCGGATGTGCTGCTGTAGATGGCTCAGCTGGGTGAACTTCCGTTGGCAAATCTCGCAACGGTACGGCTTAATGCCAAGGTGGATCCTCGTATGCTGCGACAGGTACGAGGAGTTGGCGAACGCCTTGGAGCACTGCGTGCATTTGTACGGCTTCGCTTCGCGCATATGAATCTGCGTGTGGAGCTGCAGATCCGCCTTGCTACCGAATATCTGCAAAAAGAAAAAATACTTTGGTGTCAAAGAGAGACATGTAAAATGAAAAAAAGAGGAAAAGGAGAAAATATATATGTGTGTGTGTGTGTGTGTGTGTGTGTGTGTGTGTGTGTGTATACATGAGTGAGATGCGAAGAAATAAGTCGTAATCTTAGAAACTCATGCCAATCGCCACTGAAGGAGACTTAATGTTTCCTTATCTAAAATGCAAATTAATAACTTCCTGCGCGCACGTGACACAGTGTACGGGACAGGAGCGTACTTTGGAATTGAATGAAACGTTCATTTCTGCTACAATATATGGCAGAACAATACGAGGGAGGAAGGGAGAAAGGATCGGTTAGGAAACAATCTCTCTATTGCCGCGCGACGTTCGCTTCCCTCTCGTTTCCATGACGCGCTAACCGGACACGTCGCGCCGGTATATTTATAAATAAATAAATAAACGAAAAAAGAGGAGCACTGCCACAGTAGCTCGAGCGTATATGCACGAGGCGGGGAGAGGCTGACCTTGTCTATCACGGCCTAGCCTCGAGGCATATCCGACCGACTGGCTTCGGGTACCGCATAGGAGATCCCCTCCTCTTTCTCATACTCTAGTGTGCGTATATCCTCGCTCTTTCCTTCCTTCATCTTGCCGCCTCGCTTTGTCTCCTCCTTTATCCCCCATCATTTCATTCGCCGCCGGTTCCTCGCATGCTAGTTTCTAGTTCCTCTGATCTCATCTGACTTCTTTTTTTTTTCCTTTTTCATATCTCTCTCTGCGCGACAACGTGGACAAGCCGACGATCAACGATTATTATCACCTATCCTTCCCGATATCTTTCTCGATCGCGCTAAACGCTTGTCGCATGCTTGTATTATCACGTATCTTATAATACAATTCAAATGAATATTCATTTCTTATACATATATTAATCGCATGATTGAGACGTGAGTGTCGCGCACAATTATCGTACTTCCATACAATTTTTAACGTTGCACGAATTCATAATCGAACATCCACTTTAATTCCAATTTTGCCTGTAATCTTAGAGACGATAATATGTTTTCCAATATTCCCTGGCTTTATTGCAAACGTGATTAATTAATGAAACGTGATGTAATGTTCGATGCACGAGTCCTCACATCCGGAGATAATCGCGGCACAACCCTCCACCATTTTCGATCTTCTTACTTTCTTTCGAAATTTCCGTCCCGTCCACGATGGATCACTAATGCCGCTAAAACGTCTCATTCATCCGTAATGACGCGCGCGCATCATTACCGAATAATAACACCGGTCACGAAATCCATGATGCTCCGAGGTAACGATCGTGCGGGTATTTCGGCTTCGTGGAAAGGGCAGCGAATTGTCTTCCGACGCCGCGGCGGACGAAGGTATCGCACCGGAATGACGTGTTGGAGTCGAAGAAACGATCCTGAACACGCGAGAAGCGACAAAGCCAGTTTTCTGACGTCGCCTCCGTTCGACCGAGGTTATTACGTAAAAACGACGGGTTCCTTTCTGAAACCTTCCATCGTATTCGCCACGCCCGAGGATCTAGGGCGAGAAGGAGTCTTTCCAGGTCCTTCGCGTGGCAAGGATCCAAACCTGGAAGGATGACCGACTCTCGTTACCGCGCTCGACGAGGGCTCGTTATTTCCTGCAGCTGGAAAACTTTTGGATCTCACGGTTCGCGTAAACAATAACTCACTTCGAAACAATTTACGCAACTCTATGATTAGACGGATGTCTGTATAATAACGGCGAAGTAAACATATTTCACGTTTACATTATAGATTAATTGTTTTAGCAATGTAGATTAACTTTAATATTTCGGTTTAATTTATTCTTCTTTTAATTCTTAAAATTAGAAATAAATAAAAGATAAATTAAACCGAGATGAAAATTAATTTACATTATTGGTGGAAGTGAGCACGAGTATATCGAAATATGTCAAATACAGTTTCTTCGAAGGAGATTACTTTGGAGGTAAGGCTGTAAGCATTTAAAATCCTATTATCATATAGTGCGGTAGGCACAAAGACACACAGACATACTTGGAGTCTTGATTTTTATGACTTTACATCTTCGCGCGCTATTTAACAGAAGCAGGAAGAGCGATAATCCAAGCATGCTAACGGCAAGTTGGTTAACGATCGCTTTACGGTTGTCCTGGATCGTGATTTATTCGGTAATCGATCGACGGTCTCGCTCGAGGCTTCAACGGCTGACTTGGCGCGTCCTTTAACGGGTTGGAGCTGTTATTTTTTTTATTTCCTCCTTTCGAAACACGTCCTTGTCGGTGTCAAGTTCGCGCATAGTCCACGTAACGCGATAGTCTGTTGCGCGTCATTCTTTTCTTGTTTTTTTTTTCTTTTTCTTCCGTTCCTTTAGCGCAGCAAGTAAACGGCAAATCTGAGGGCGCGAGAACAATTAGAGGAAGAGGAGACAAAAGGAAAGAGGAAATATTATTTATATTATTGACATGTATGTAAATTGTTAAATCATAATCATATACTTCCTATTTACGATTCATTTAAATTATTTAATGTTCTCTTTTTGCAAAAAACGCTGTGTAATATATTTACAATGATAGTTGATTCTATAAGTATAGTGTTAATTAAAATAGGGAATAATAAAAAGAAAGAAATAAAAATGTAATAAAGCGTTCTTTTAATAAAGCGTTCTTCAGATCAGAACTTTAAAGTAATCATTGCATGTCTGCTCCATCTTTTAAAAATATCCAGTATTCGTGCAAAATTTGAGAACAATTAGATGCAGGGTCGACAAACTTATAAATAAATTCTGATTCTGACTTCGTTCGTGCACTCTTCGCCGTACATGATTACATATGGTAGAATAAACGATTAGCTTAGTCAAGGTTTCGTGTCTTGCAGGATAAGTGTCATCGTTGTGGAATATAAATTACGCTAGTTCGTATCAATGGAACAACAAATCAATGCTTCTAATTGATGGACTTTAAACTTTGAGAAAATTGTTTGCTTTGCTAGCTGTGAAATTTATTTAAAATAAACGAGACAAAGTGTCGTAATAAAAATATCAACGATACGAAAAATGGGGATTATAAGCTTCGCGGTCTTCAAATTAAATTTTATCTCTTCTATTCGTTGATTTAATTGCAAAATATTTGGAAGAATCGAGGAAAGCACGCTGATTGGCAGACTAAATATTTCGCGTATGGATCTTCTCTGCGAGAACTTGGAAGAGATCTCTTGCCGTTCAATGGACTTGATTCAATTAAAGAATTTCTCGATGCAAATCACGACGGCGCCAAATAAAAATTGGCGGTTATAATTGACAGAAGGCAGTTTAGTCGACCGCGGAGATGCAAGCGCGACTTATTCGTGCAGAATTTGAAGGAAATCCCGTTGAAAGAAATTCCAGATTATACGATTAAATGAGAATTAATCTGTAATGCGAGCACGACGCGATGAAACGAGCGCTGTGCGCGACGGCTCGAAGTAGTCCTGCTGAATTAAATCGGACAGTCGGAATCTCACGCCTTTCGTCCTTCTCTGTCACGGAGAGATGGAGAGGTGCGCCTTCAAGAAAAATAATAGCGATAAATTCAGAAATTACGTCGGCCAGACTGTGCGCAGGTATGCGAAATTAGCGCCTCTAATTACGAAACCGGCGAGGAACTATGCCCGCCGGGCAACCGGCTAGTCCTCCTGTCATTTCTGATTAATCGACGTCGATTTACTTAGGCAATACTTAAGAAGCCGAGACGAAGTACATTTGCCGTGACGCAGCCGGGTATAAATCGTACACTCCGGGATCATCAGAGGGATTTTAGAAGCGCGCGTGCAAAGCCAATCTCCGCGCCATGTTAAATTCTCGAATCGGAATCAAGCAGAACCTTAAGTTCTTTTCAAACAAAGATCTACTGACGAGTAGTCGTCTCAGCCGCAACCGCACGTGTAAATTATAAGATTTCACGATTCCTCCGACGAAACGACGATTAATTTATCATACGCTCGCACCACGTTCAATAACGATTAATCGACATATATTTATCTCGTGTATCTAAGAGTTCAGGATGATGATCGTTCGCGCACAGAGGATTTCGTCATTCAGCTCCGAGTCTGTTCTGTAGAATTCCAGCGTTGTGATGGATGACAGTCGCTTCGCATCTAGTCTCGTCTGTGTATATTTGCCGTTCTGTTTCCTCGTCTGGTTCTTCAACCTCCGCGAAGTAGTCTACGAAGTAGCCTCGGGGCCAGATCTCATAAATTCAATTTAAATATTTCGACCTTAATGATCATCAGACGCGAGAAGGAAGGTAGAGGCGACAGTCAAGGTCGGTGTCGGCATCCGATAAAAGTACATTTTAATTGAGCAATTGGCAATGTCTTATTGCAGATACCTCTCTCTACAATTTTTATATCTTTTCCTTCATATTTAATAAGTTTGTTTCGAGGACACCGAGAAGTATTCAAACGGACTAACGAGACGCAAAGTTCAAAAGAATCTTTTAAATTTCAAAGTCCGTGGTATCCTCAGAGCTCCAGCACTCGTGATCCCGCCACGATCCTCACGTGAATTCTTAACGATGCCTTTCGATTACGCAAGCAAAATTAGTATGTTAAAAAAATCGCATATTAATACATTTATAATATCTATGCATACGTGCAACGCATATATCACTTCCTTTCGATAAAATGAGACGTTTCAATGGTGGTTTAATTTTTTACAAATATTTTAAATGACTTATGAATTTATATGTATTCTACCACGCGCGCTGAAACTGATTTGCATTATCGTGCTTATAAAATAAAGGCACGTGTGTTCACAGCTCTCTTCGGATGGTAACGTTACTCATGGCATGCCGGAATTATAAAATATTCGATAAGCCGCGAAGTCAAAATAAAACTGCCGAGATAATTAATTTTATGGAATTAAAAGGCTTCTAAATGCGATTGAGTTCGTTACGATTATCGACGTTTCACTCTCTTGCGTTTATCTCGTAAAGCCAATTCATTAAGGCGAT